CTGTGATTGGCTGCTGGCGCGCGGGGGGCGTGTCCGGCGGGCCCGTATTAAAGGTACCATGGCCGCCCGCAAAAAGGGGCCGCGGGCGGGCGGGAGCGCAGTGCGAGCCGAGCGGGCACCGGGCACGGCCTCGCCACGGATCTTACCCCTTCTCCGCGCCGGCACCTCCCCAGCGGCCGCCGCAGGTAAGAATCGCCTCCTTGCCCCCGTCTCTCCCCGCCTCCCCGAGGAGCGGAGGCGATGCGCGGCGCGCGCGCTGTCGCGATACCCCCGCGATAAAGCGGCCGCTGCCTGCGGCTCGGAGAAGAGGGGGAACTCCTGCGTTTCTCACGGAGCTATTCTCAGCGCCGAAAATAATTCGATAGGTATGGCTGGAGCGCCCGAGCATCTGCTTCCAGCATCTGTTTGTGCTCATAACTTTCCATGCACCAGCTGCTCCCCCTCCTTTTTTTTTTATTTTTTCCCCCACCCTCGGGATATTTTATCCTGGGGAAGGGCTGGAAGTTCGCACGGAGCGCACCGCTCCATCCCATCCCTTCTCCTCCTTCTCGCCTGTTGTTCCCTGCACGGAGGGAAGGCAGAAGCGGCGGGTCTCGGCACTCGGTTTGAGCGTCCGGGATGGTTGAGAGAGCTGTGAAATGAACCTGTAGCTTCTTCATTCATCGAACGGGAAGGCTCCTGTGTTTTTGACCATCCTGCCAAAAAAATGGGAAGCAGCAAAATAAAAATAAAATAATAATAATAAAAAAAACCATCCGTGGAGGCAGCGAAGAGCTGTATTGTTTCAGCTTAGCTCATGACAGTGAAAGGAAAAAAATACTGATAAGCAAAGGCAGATGGATTTGGGGGGTCGGGGACCGCTGGGGACCCGCAGGTGCCGCTGGCCTGGCTTGAGCCGGACCCTCGGCTCTGTCCCCACCCCGCACTTGTCTCCGTGGCTCAGCCTTACCTTTACACTTGTTTGCTTTTCCATCCTCGCAGCCGGTGCGCCGCGTACACCCCCTGGTGATGGCTGCTCCTCTCGGAGTTATTTTGTCACCAGCTACAAATACCCCGAGCCCGTCTCCTTGGCAGGACAGCAGATGCGAGCGCCACTTGTCCTTCCCTTTCTCCTATTTCTTCGCACCCATTTCCCTGCATCATGTGCTCTTTTTGCATTTTTTTCTCCCCCCCTCTGCCTGTCCCTGAAGGTCAGATCCTTCTCCTGAAGCTCGCCGCTCCGTGTAACTTGAGTCGTGCCCGGAGCAGCGGAGGAGCCCTGGGGAAAGACTTTTAAGGAGAAAGGTTTCAGGGGTGGCTGTGCCCGGCAGCGAGGGAGCAGGAATGTGGGAACAGGCTTGGCTGGGGCCAGAAGCTGCTTTGTTCTGCTTTCCGAGGGCAGCAGGGAGGGCGCTTGGCTGAGGTGGTGCTGGTGCTCTCTTGGCAACATGTGCCCGGCTCGCTCCGCAGGGCTCGGTGGCGTCAGCCGGGGAATAACAGCTCCAAGCGCTCCCTGCTGCTCCTCTCTACCCCTCCCCTGCTCCTCTGCACTCCGGAGTTGTCCCTCAGTCTTTAACCTTTGCACAAATCCCCTCCTGCTGCGCCTTGCGATGTGAGCGTCCTTCCCCAGGGCAGGTCTGGAAGGGGATGCTCAGGGTGAAGCTTTGGGCTCCTCACGGTGGCATTTCCCCAAATGCTGGCTCAGAAATGCTGCAGATGCAGCACAGCCCCATCTTCCCCCCTCCTCCAAGCATCTCCTCGCAGCACAGCCAGCCAGGCTCTCCCATCCCATCTCGTCCCTTCCCAGTAATCCCGTGTCCCTGCCACTGCTGCTGATTCCAAACTGTGTTGCTTGTCCTTCCTTCCAGGAGGAAAGGTCACCTGGATTAATAATAATAATAATAATAATATTAATCATAACAACACACCTGGTGATGATTGAATTTACAGCTCTGTGTCTGGCTGCCCTGCACTGTGCCCAGTTAGGCAAATACTGGGGTGGGTTGGTGGTGCTGAGTCCCTTTGCCCAGTGAGGATTGCAGGGCTGCTCCCACACCAGCCTGGAATTTTTGGTGCCACCAGCAGCTGATGCTGGGGTGGAGTGAGGGGCAGCAGCGTTGTCCAGCCTTGGAGCAGCAGGTGGATTGGCACCATAAGAAGTAGCATTAGGTTTTCCTGCTGCTTTGTTCCTGGGTTTTTTGGGGGAACCTCTGGTGGAAGTGGTTGTGAGGGTCAGGGTGAGCACGGAGCAGGTGCTGGGGCAGCCAGTGGATCCACAGGGCATTTCACAGGACCTGTATTTCCATGAGCAGGAGCGAGATCAGCCCCTCTGGCTGATCCCTGTGCGTGGTGCTGCTCCTGCTCCCATCCCACCCATCCCATCCTTCTCCCATCCCACCCATCCCATCCTTCTCCCATCCCACCCATCCCATCCTGCTCCCCGCTCCGAGCACTCGCAGGACGAGAGGCACTTTGTGCTGGAAAAGCAGGCAGAGAGCTCTGCCGCCCTGGGGTGTGCCAGAGCTTTGTGCATTTCCAGCAGGCTGCAAAGCTGTCCCCAGGCTCACCCCCAGCTTTGGGGGTCCCTGGAACCAAAGGGGGGTGCAGCTCCACTCCCACAGCACTGCCAGCGAGGAGGGATCCGGGCACGGGACAGGAGGGAAGAGGTGCTCAGTCCTCCAGGGGAGGGACATGACAAATTCGGGTCCCAAACTTCTAAATGCAGCCACAGGATGTTGGCTTTAGGATTTCAGGGATCTGTGGAATTCAAACAAGTGTCCTCAGGTTCAGACTTTTGTGGGAGAAGCTGTGTATTCAAACACTTTAAATGTTACATCTTCCCCTCCAACACAAGTTCCCCTCTAAAATCCGGGAAAGAAAAGGAAAATAAACAAACTTTAGAATAAACTGTTTCCTAGGCTGTGTGTTTCCATCAGCTTGGAACAAAACAGGCTTTGACCGTGGAAGTCGAACATGACTGTGATTATAGGATGTGGTTTATGGGAGTGATCGATTTGCAGAGCAGTGCAATGGCTTTTCAAGAAGTTTTTTTTAATGTGGGATGTATTAACAGTAATTTCACTTCCCTGCCGTGCTCAGGTTTCTAATAAAAGTGGGGTTTTGGCCAAAACAAATCATTTAAGTGAGCATTAAAAGAATTCTTTTGTATTTTTGAGCACGATATCCTGACGGGAATGAGAAAACCCGTGAACAAAAAGGTGTAAGGGGGCAAAAGAGTGGATTCTTACACACTGGAGGCACGACAGCTGTAAAAGTAAGAGTAAATTCCCAGAGTAAGCTCCACCAGAAGCGTTCAGTGCTGAGAGCTGCACTCAAACGGGCATTACAGAACCCGCCAAGAGCTGCCAAAATGTCTTGTCTGAGCTGAAGTCACAGATGACTAATCTTGGCAGGGAGGCAGCGGGACACTTTCTTGCACAACAAACAGGAGCGAGGGGAAAAGAGGAGGTGAAAGTAAACCCTGAGGAGATCCTGGAGGGAAAAGCAGCCTGCACAGAGCTGGTGATGTTGCTGTTTGTCACCTGCTCTTTTCCTAACAAGTGTTTGCTGAGCTCAAGCCTTTGTAATGTGGCTGGAGGATGTGGGAGGGTTTTGCGGAGTTGTTTGGAACCGCTCAAGTTTTTGGAGCACCTCGGCAGGGCTTTGGGGGCTGCTGTTGTTGGGAAAGGAGATAACATCTCATCTCCAGCTGTTGTCAAATTCCAGTCAGAGGAAGAGCAGAGGTCCTGCCGGGCAGGGGTTGTGCTCCACGGTGGCTGCGGTTTTGTTGGCTTTTGGACAAACTCCGATGAGTTTTGATAACATTAATTTAGGAAGAGCACCGTGATTGAATCCCCTGCTACTGTAAATGGTTCTGGAGCCTCCCATGCCGTGCCAAAGGGACAGCAGACATTCCTCTCCAGCCAGCTTTAGCTTTATTCCCTCCGTGGGCCATGTGTGGCTGGAGCAGTTGCTTTAATGCATCCCTTCTCCTCTGCAGTATTTCAATTCCATTTCCTGATATGCAGTACATGACTTAATGGATGACGCACTTGTTAAAAGCTAGACCTGGGTCTCAGCCAGACCTCCCTGAAACAAGTTTTTGGTGGCTTCTCCCCTCAGGAATAGAGTTTTGTAGCCTTTCTGCCGAGTCTTGGTTGGTGACGTTTCAGACCCTCGGGTCTCTCGGGACCGTCACCCGCTGGAGATGGAAAGGGCTGCCTCAGGCTCCTCTCTCACTCCTAAAGGTGTTAGGAAGGCACTCAATTGATTCTGCTGCCTTTTACTGGTGGCTGTAGCAGGAGCAGATGAGAAGTTTAAAAGGTTTCATTTTTACGTACAACTTAGGCCAAACTTGAGCGTAAAAACTACAGAAATCCCGATGAGTTTATGGAGTTAGAGAGAAGCAACTGCACCAGTGAAATTTGCTGAGAATACAAAACTCCTTCTTTTAGCTTAATTAAAACAATTGTATGTGCTTTAATTTCATGGAATCACTTCCCTGTCTCTACCTTCCCCTTTGCTCTCTCCCTGCTTTGTCACGGGTCAGATGGTCCAAGAGACACATCACAAGTCGCTACAAACCACTTCAGTATTTGTGTTTGAACAGAAGGATGTTAAAGGGAATTGTTTCTTTCAAAAGAAGCAGAACTCACGGTTATAAATAGCAGAGAGATCCTTTGCGTGCCCAGCTTTAAAGCCAATATTGTTCAGACTGGTGTGACACGATCCCCTCAGCGCTTTCCTTCGGGAAGGGCAATTCCTTCCTCGCAGTCACGATGTGTGACCCCTGTCCACGCACAGCTGCCAACATTGAGCACTGCTGAAAATGTCATTAAGAAAGAGGAAACTTCCTGCGGGTCCACAGGTGTCGTTTTCCTCGATTCCTCATGCTTTTCCTCCAGGATCTAAAGTGCCATTTCTCTTTCTCTTGCAGACCATGCCCTCTCTATGACGGTGGCTTGCTGAGCTCACCCTGCATGCCAGCAGACTGTCCTTGGTCGGTCCGAGGGCTTCTGGGGACTCCGGCCTCTGCCCGGTTTTTCCGCGTGTGTGTGTTCCTGTAGAACTTTCAAAACTGTTTCTCCAAAGGGTTTTGCAGAAACTCAGACTGTTTTCTAAAGCAGAAGCACCTCAGTCCCCGGCAGTAGTGATGGGCAGCGTGCGAACCAACCGCTACAGCATCGTGTCTTCGGAGGAGGACGGCATGAAGCTGTCCACCATGGCCGTGGCCAACGGCTTCGGCAACGGCAAGGGCAAGGTCCACACCCGGCAGCAGTGCCGGAGCCGCTTCGTCAAGAAGGACGGACACTGCAACGTCCAGTTCATCAACGTGGGCGAGAAGGGGCAGCGCTACCTGGCCGATATCTTCACCACGTGCGTGGACATCCGCTGGAGGTGGATGCTCGTGATCTTCTGCCTGACCTTCATCCTCTCCTGGCTTTTTTTTGGCTGTGTGTTTTGGTTGATTGCGCTGTTGCACGGGGATCTGGAGAACCAAGAGAGCAGCAAGCCTTGCGTGTCTCAGGTGAGCAGCTTCACCGCAGCCTTCCTGTTCTCCATCGAGACCCAGACCACGATCGGCTACGGCTTCAGGTGTGTCACCGACGAGTGTCCCATCGCCGTGTTCATGGTGGTCTTCCAGTCCATCGTGGGCTGCATCATTGATGCCTTCATCATTGGTGCCGTCATGGCAAAGATGGCTAAGCCAAAAAAGAGGAACGAAACTCTGGTCTTCAGCCACAATGCCGTGGTGGCCATGAGGGATGGGAAGCTGTGCCTGATGTGGCGCGTGGGGAACCTGAGGAAAAGCCACTTGGTGGAGGCGCACGTGCGGGCGCAGCTCCTGAAATCCAGGATCACGTCGGAAGGGGAGTACATCCCCCTGGATCAAATCGACATCAACGTGGGCTTTGACAGCGGCATCGACCGCATCTTCCTGGTCTCCCCCATTACAATAGTGCACGAGATCGACGAGGACAGCCCTTTGTATGACCTGAGCAAACAGGACATGGACAATGCTGACTTCGAGATCGTGGTCATCTTAGAGGGCATGGTGGAGGCCACCGCCATGACCACCCAGTGCCGTAGCTCATATCTGGCCAACGAGATCCTCTGGGGCCACCGCTACGAGCCCGTGCTCTTCGAGGAGAAGAACTACTACAAAGTGGACTACTCGAGGTTCCACAAAACGTACGAAGTGCCCAACACACCCATCTGCAGTGCCAGGGACTTAGCGGAGAAGAAATACATCCTCTCCAACGCCAACTCCTTCTGCTACGAGAACGAGGTGGCCCTCAGCAGCAAGGAGGAGGACGAGATCGACACGGGGGTGCCTGAGAGCATGAGCACGGACACCCACCCGGACATGGAGCACCACAACCAGGCGGGGGTGCCCCTGGAGCCGCGGCCGCTGCGGCGGGAGTCGGAGATATGACTGGCAGGCTCTGCCTCTCCCGCGTGGCTGGAAGGCAAAATCCCCACCGTGTCCGTCGGGCAAGGGCTCGTTGACCTGAGAAGTTGGCCCAGAAGAGTTTGCAGACAACGGTACTGTGGAAGAGTGGCGTGAAGGCAGCAGACCCGAGGAACCCAGGCTGGTTTTAGGGCTGTCCTCAGAGAAGGGACGACAGGAAATGAACTCTAAA